TGCAGCTGCAGGTAGCATCGTGGTTTTGTGGTAGGACACCTGCTTGCCACGCGAGCGACCCAGGTTCGATCCTCGATGAGGCCGAAAATATTATTCTTCATTTCATTTGCTTCTTTCTCAATTTTTCGCTCACAACCAATGGTGCCGATGCCGACGGTGGAATTTCTGCGACACGAGCTCTCTTATCGCGTAAAAAATTTCGAAGACTGCTCCTTCATGATAGGCCTAGCATCTGCTGCCGAATCGCTACCGCATGGGTCTTCAAGCTCATGTTGTTTCATCCTCTCTCATTCTGACACGGAAGCGTATATGTCTCGGACGACGCGGTCATAGAAACGTTCAACGGGAGTATACGCGTATGCACGATGTCCCGCTGGTTCCATAACAGCAATCAGCGCTGTCCGGAGAGCACATAGATCTACCGGATTTTCACCTGTGAGACCAGCTCTGCCGCGTCTCGAAGCTCACTCTTTAAGCTGCGCTGACCCAAGCTCGTCGTCGTCAAGTAGATCCTCTTAACATAGACGCTCTTAGAACGAAGAAAGCTAGTGCCCGCAGCTCAGACGCGCCTCAACGCTGCTCTCGTCTAGAGGCCAACTACCATCGCGTTTCATTGAACGCTTAGTGTGACTGTACGGTACTTTTACAAGGCGCCCTCTCGTCAAGAGTGCCTAGCGAAGAAGGCTACATGCAGCTTCTGCCACATGAGGACACCTAGCTGCTTACCGTTCCTGAAAGAAGCGTCTCAGCTACATTCACTTGCTCGCAGTAAACACCTCCCATGAACTTGGTCAGTTCGTCAGCGTTGAAGTCGGTGGACGCCCTAATCGCTTCAAAGTGGACTCGTGTGCCGACTCTGTTGTGTCTAGTGCCTATTACTTTCCAGAGATGCTCAGCTCCACTTGACCCTCCAGGAGGCGAGCGATTACTTGGACTGGGAAACAGTAGACAATCTCAGAGGTGCGTCCGCTCCCCCCCCCCCCCCCCCATAACTAACCGATGACCAGCTGCCCAATTCCGAACAACTAATGCGCACCTCCACGACTTTCTGCGTGCCTTGGTGAGCAACCTTGATTGAGTTGATGTAGATATTTGCTTGTTGACTGAGAATGTTCAGCAACAAAAGTCTCGTTGAAAGAGGTTGTTATCTTTTTTGCAACTATGTGCCCCCCCCCCCCCCCGCTGATTTGCCGTATACTGTCCCCGCTGTTTCGGCTTCGAGCAACTCGGCCCTCCGTCTCAAAAGGTTGCCAACCCCTGGTTTAGAACAATTGACCATGTGGTTCGTGCACAAGCATGCTGTCAGCGTTCGTAGGTGTATCTACCGTGGTTGGGGGTGGGGGGGGGGGTGATTTGCGGCGCGCAGTAAAGTTAGGGGTGTGGTAGTGACAGGGTGGAGTCCCACCACTTTTGAAAGAATTCGATCGTGTTTCACATACCAAATTAGGAAGTAAATTAAAAGTTACTCTTGGAGATAGTACCATCGTATACTGGATTAACGATTACTTGACCAATCGCTCACAATTTGTTCAGTTACAGGACACCACCTTTAGAACAGCAGCAGGCTGTCAGGCATGCCACAAGGCAGCGCATATACTAGCACCAATATTATTTACAATATTCATTAAGGACTTGCCACTCTCCACTAAAGTAAAACTAAGGCTCTTTCCAGATGACAGCGTACTTTACTAAGAAATGAATACCCTTGCAGATCTCTTAACTTTTAACGGAGCATTAGAAGATGTACACAAGTGGTGCGAAAAATCGCAAATATCTCTTAATATTGGTAAATGTGTATTCATGACAATAACGTACCCGAAAAAAACACAGGTCCAACTTTCCTTGTGCCATTGACAACTGCCCCTTAACTACAGCCTATAAAGAAAACGACAGAATACGAATCAAGAAGGGTGTAAGACAAGGGGATACAATCTCCCCAATGCTATTTACTGCGTGCTCCTGAATTACAGGAGGCGCTTCGCCGATGACATTGCATTGCTGAGTAACTCAGCGGACGAATTGCAACTCATGATTACTGAATTATACAAGGAGAGCAGACAGGTAGGCCTTAATTAAACTTAATTCAGAAAACGAAAGTGATGTACAACAACCACGGAAGAGAACGGCGCGTCGAGATAGTTAATAGTGCACTTGAAGTTGTAAAGGACTATTTTTACTTAAAATAAGTAATAACCGCGAAGCTCAAAGACGAGATTGAAGCAACCAGAAAAATAAGAATGGGTTGGAGCACATTCGGCAAGCACTCTCAAATCATGGCTGGTAGATTGCCACTATCCCTCAAGAGGAAGGTACATAACAGCTGCATCTTGCCGGTACTTACCTATGGAGCAGAAACCTGTGGGATTAAAACGAGGGTTCAGCTTAAATTGAGGACGACGCAGCAAGAGACGGAAAAGAAAATGATAGGTGGTACCTTAGACAATAAGAGAGCAGAGTGGGTCAGAGAACAAAGCGGAGTTAAGGATATCATAGTTGAATTCAAGAAAGAGAAATGGACATGGGCCGGGCATGTATCGCGTAGGCAAGATAACTGCTGGTCATTAAGGGATAACTGACTGGATTACCAGAGGGGGCAAGCGGGTTGGGGGAGACGAAAAGTTAGGGGGGCAGATGAGATTAAGAAGTTTGCGGGTGTATATATATATATATATATATATATATATATATATATATATATATATATATATATATATATATATATATATATATATTATATATATATATATATATATATATACCTGTGTGTGTGAAAGCGCGGATGTCTGTGGTTTTGATTGTACATGATGTACCAATGAAAAGAAAATAAATAATGTACTGCTTCGCGAATTCGGCTCGAAAAAGCGGTGGGGTTTGTAAGAATGTTGCTTCGCACAAATCGTGACAGTGAATGCGGCTGGGAGCAAAGGCCAGCGGTGAACGGTTTTTGTGAACGATTTTTCTTTTTTTTACGTGAAAGTGTTTTATGTCAAGGCTCATTGAGACTTCAATGGCGTATTTCAGTCATGGAAATGACGCTGAAAAAATACGCACAATGTGAAGACAGAGTTCCATCATCGGGAGTCGAACCCGTGACCTTTGGGCGCATGGTAACACATACTGGGCACGCTATCCGCTGCGTCATAATTCCGTGATTGGAACCCTTAAGAATACATCTTTTATATCTACCACAGTTCTCTCAGTGTTCTTGGTAAAGTGCATCATGGCCATGATTTGATTAATTTGTGGTGTTTAACGTCCCAAAACCACCATATGATTATGAGAGACGCCGTAGTGGAGGGCTCCGGAAATTTTGACCACCTGGGGTTCTTTAACCTGCACCCAAATCTGAGCACACGCACCTACCTTTCCGCCTCCATCGGAAATGCAGCCGCCACCGCCAGGATTTGATCCCGCGACCTGCGGGTCAGCAGCCGAGTACCTTAGCCACTAGACCACCGTGGCGGGGCCATCATGGCCATGGCTACCGCGATTAGTTCCTTTAACGCGTCGTTTCTAAACGCCCGTCTCATTCGACGCGTTTCTAATAGGAGTATGTACACTTTCGTCAACGCCAAACACACCCTCAGGGGGCGATTTTACCCCAAGCGTCGGTATCACTCATCGTATTCGTCCATACCAAAACATAGCTCTGCAACGCAAAGAGCAACGCGCCTGCTTAGTCTGGATATACTAACATATGTATGTTCGTCCTGCGAAAAATTATGGCCCGCACATAAAACACAACGCGCATTACATTGCTCTCTGGTCGAGCCGTGGCGTTCATGGCCCGAGTCGATCTTAGCCCAAGTTCAGCGTGCAAACAATCACGTTCTTTTGACCGTGGCATCGCTTTCTCAGGTTCCGCACTCAGCTGTAGACAACAAGTGTTTCTTTAATTATTATTGATAGATGTTAGTCGCGTGAGCGTCGGCAGGGTGGTGCAAAAAGGGGCATTTGCCCCCCTCAAGCCTTACCAGCACTTGCCCTCACCCAAGCTACGCCAGTGCTTTCCCCGTACCCCAGACGCGATTAAACACTGGTTTGCACCCCCAAGAGAAAATCTTGCCGACGGCCACGGAAGTCGTCGGGATGGAGATGCATGACTAAACGTTGGCGTGGATGCAGTCAAGTTAAGCGGCGTTATTATAACTGTCAAGCAGCAATAGGCATTTCGCGAGCTCTCTTGTATATCAATGTACAGTAAACATTAAACTACTTGTGTAAATACACGTTTTACTTTCGTGTTTTACCGACTCCTAAGATAGAGACATACCCCCCCCCCCCTTTTTTTTTGCATATTCCGCAGCGCATTTTCTTGCTCTTCTCGTTGCTTTAAGGTCCGGATGTGTATCCAGTAAACACAAGTGGCTTATTGCGTGAAATTATTTTAAACTTTATCTTGTTTTGTTTATATTTGTTCGCGCAATCTTGCATTTGTTGCAGAAAAAAATATAAATGGGTCACCCGGGATCCTCTTTCCATCGCGCTTACAGATTTATTTTATCTTACCGGTTGAACAATATGTCAATTGGCTGTGAATGGTAGCCGATTCCATTTGGTGACGCCCTCGTGAACATAATTTCAGTGCCCGTCTTTAAATTATTAGCCTTTCGCGGTATCGCCCCTCTGAATTTCTCAGTGATCGTACATATAGGAACCTGTAATTTAACCCTGACGGTGGTTACAGCCTTCGTGCTCAGCGTTTCGCTCAATGAAATTGGTGCGATTGCGAAACTGGGTATTTTTCGCCACTTCCAGAACTCGCCAGAGGAGAGCGACCGTGGCGCACGCCTTTCTGGCCCACACTTAGTGCCTTATCCATGACTCAGTCGCCATTCTCTCGAGGCATGCACGGCTTAAGCGTGTCGACCGACGGAAGCGACGACATGCTGGGCACGTTTTGGAGCACTTGAAAGTGATCGAAGCAAATAAGTGGACAAAATATTTATTGAGCAGGAATCAACCGTCTTTTATTTAACAACAACAAAAAAAAAAAGGTATCGCAATCGCATCACCTGTTGCAACGAAGGCATCAGAGCGTATCAAACAGCCGCGCAGGCACAGCGCATACATGCACCATTTCTTAAGGAAGACATATAAAAAACATTACAACATGTACCAAAACAACAATTTTAGGTACGTGGGCACTATGTACGTCGTTTAAACAAAAACGAGCTTCCTCGTACGCTTTAGCACATCTTGTACATAGACCTGCGTTTTCACTTTAAAAATAGTGAACAGGTACAAAAAACAAATGCAAATAATAATCCTAAACTCACAAAATGTTTAAGGGTCACACTAGAACAAGCTCAAACTGGTTGTGGGTGAAACACAATGCAATAAAAACAAAAAATTAACTCCATGGAAAAGTTTCCTAATACAGAAAGGTGTACGCAAGGTAACTTTTGTGTTAAGTCTCGAAAATTCCGTTACATATAGGCTGATGCTGGACTGAAGAGTGAAAATTACGAAAGTTTTCAATGTGTGTCATAAAAGGCAAGAAAGTTAAAGAAGGCGTACAACTCAGTTGTACGCCTTATATAAGCATGCATGCACGGAATCAAAGATTACGTCAGTAACGTAATCTTCGATTCCGTAACCTTTCGCAAAAGAGCAACCTTATCAGTATCTGACGCAGTCTTGTAGCGTAAGGCACGACAGTCGACCTTCTCTCCTGCCATTATATAAGTTGTAACCATTATTTAACTGGGAAGACAAACTGCGTGGATGCGAAGAAATGCGACCAGTTCATTGTAAGTTTTCTCATAACATACTAATCAACGGCCCTTGGAGGGAGTTTAGTCACCAGGAATCGTTTCTACAAAACAAAGTTGCTCGGCCCGAACGTTTGTTTTTTCTATGCTTACGGCTATTCGGCCACCGGAAAATCCACCACTACTTGTGCAATGTCAGAAAGTTACATGCTTGAAGCTACCGCAGCACGTTCAAAACACGAAAAAGAAAGAAAAAAGCGGCGCAACTAAAGGCAAACGTATACACTAACAAGAAGGTCTAGGCGAATAGGAACGCATTTCTGGAAAGAAGTGATTGTTGGAGGAAGGTACTGTCATGACTGTTGCAAGGCGTCGTTACTGTTACTGAGTGCTGAAAGCAGCGCCTCGTCGTTTGTGAGCAGCTTCCCGAGGAACGGATCATCCAGAAGTTCCTTCTCATTTTCTAGAAGCACATCGTCAGTGAGCATGGTCACATCGTCATGAACACCGTTGTAGCTGTAATACGTGTTGTCTATTTCTTCGAAAAACTTCGCCGGTTCGTCCGTGGTCAATGACCTGTAAGGCGCCTCGGAGCACAGAGGTGGCGTGAAGGAATGGCGGACGGCCATCAGCGGCTGCCACGAAATTTCCGGCGATTTCGCTGCGGATGACTCAAGCTGTGTTTCCGCCACCTCGGCCTCAGTGTTCTGAAAGCTGTATGGTGAAGTGGGCTCAGAGTACGCGCTAGAGCTCGATGCATCATCACTCGGTGAGGTCGGCTGACACTCTGTCTCAGACGTGTAGTCGACAGACAGGGTTGCCGAGGTGGGAACACGCTGGTCCCCTTTTTTGAACTGGTATTCTGCGTGAAGCAACACAAAGAAAAAAAGAAGATAGTAGTTAGCTAAACATATCAAAGAAAATAAAGAAATGGAGAATGGATATGTCAAGTCTTTATTTCAACTTGTATGCATGAACCGGGGATGGTGAGAAAAAAAAAAAAAACAGCGAATTTAACGCCGCTTCACGGGCCACGCCATTCGTACCTGTCCGCAGAAGGCACCAAGCAGACGACAATTTCTGCACGGGAGGTTCGTACAAAAAAAAAAAAAGAATACTACGCATTTACAAAAAAAATAAAACTATTCAAACTAGTATAGCAGACATGTGTATCCTAATTAGCAGCAGTGCTGCGGGTACAAAACAATAACACAGATTGATACATTGTATGAAGACATGAAAATACATTGTGACTAAGACTACACAGATTGCTGAATAATGCTTTTGCGGATGGCGAAATAAGACAAAGTATTTTGGGTGGTCGTAAAACGAGGCTTTCAAGAACTTTACCACAACATAATTCAACATAGAAAAACTAAAGTTAGTTCTTCATCTTGGTGATAAGTAACTGTTTTATACTTTGGTATCATATAATGAATGACGAAGTGTAGGTGAAACACTTTTAGAAAAAAAGGAACATTTTTCCTTGTTGTTTTACAAAAGCTTGCGAATCTGTAGTCAAACAATTTATTTACAGGTAAAATATTGTATTGTAAGAAAACATGCTCCGTTGGGCAATCATACAACCCATTAACTATTGCTCGGGGGCATTTTCTTCTGCAGTGTGTGCAGTTTAATATGTTTGACGAAGTTGTGTTGCCCCAGACGAGCAGACAATAGCTTATACGGGAATAAACGAATGCATAATCTAAAATAAGCTTGGTCTTGGTGGAAAAACATACCTGTTACGCGAAGTAATTTCTATGATCCTAGAGAGTGCTGAAGAAAAATTATTGACATGTGCATCCCATGACATTGTGCAGCTGAAGGTTATTCCTAATTATTTAAATGTGTCCACGTACTCAATTACAATATCCCCTAGGTATATAAGCAGGGCAGTAGAAATACTTGTTTGTTTTTAGGAAAAAAGAGTACTATATATATATATATATATATATATATATATATATATATATATATATATATATATATATATATATATATATATATATATATTGAACAGCTTTGGCTTCAAGTAGCTACCATGAGAGATGCCATTTGAAATCTTTAGCATCTAATTCATTAATATGTAGGGTTTTACGTCCCAAAACCATCATATTATGAATATGAGAGGCACCGTAGTGGATGGCTCCGTAAATTTTGACCACCTGGGGTCTTTACCGTGAACCCAAATCTGAGCACACGGGCCTACAGCATTCTCGCCTGCATCGAAAATGCATCCACCGCAGGCGGGATTCGTTCCCGTGACCTGCGGGTCAGCAGCCGAGTACCTTAGCCACTACAGATCGCCGCGGCAGGGCATACTTAGCATCTGTGAAGCGTAGTTGTTAATGGCTACGTATTGAGGTGGTGAACCGAGGTATGACTTTATTAGGCTTAGGGCGTGACCACGTGCACCATAGTGCTCCAATTTTGAAAAAAGAATGCTGTGATTTAAATAGTAAAAGGTTTTGCTGAAATCAACAAAAATACCAAGACTTAAAAGCTGTGCCTCAAAATTCTTTAATATATATTCTTTTCGAACAAGTAGTGCATGCTCCGAAAACCTGTTTTGTGTAAAGCCATATTACAGTTCGTTATTATGGAATGTTTAAAAAAAACCGTTGAGAAGAACGTGGATTAGTTGCTCTCAACCCTTAAAAAATATGGGAGTATAGACATTGGCCTGTAGTTTCCGAAAATGTTTGCATTTACTTTTATCATATATCACGGCCACCCTCGCTAGTTGCACACCAGCAGGAAATTGGACTGTGGAACGTACGGTGGTACATATGTATACGTTAGACATGGCGTAATCATGTCAAGAACGCAATTGTCGAGAACTGGCTGACTTTAAATATTGTAGGCATCTGGACTACGTGTATCCTTTAGCTTTCACCATGTCGAAAAACCCCCTGTTTCATTCGTTGTTGGAAAAAACAGTGATTCCAATAGTTTGTCGCCTAGAAAACTAGAGATCTCAACATTGAACTGATTGTGTCCTACACCAGAGAATAATTTGTTAAATGAGTTAACAAGATGCAAGCCGGGTATTTTGTTGCCATGAATTACTAAACTGCTATATTTCTGTGATGCATGTTTCTATTTAAAAGCAAGTTTAGGTGCCTCCATTTTTCTTTTGGATTTCCAAAAAGATTTTTTTCTTTCGAATAAGTTCTTATAAGAAGTAGTTAATTGCTACTCTAATTTCTCTATTCAAGTGATTACGCACTGATTGGTATTGTGCCAGGACGTCTCTGTCTCTTGTCTTGATGAACACAGTCAGGCTCTAATCGGCACAGGAAAGGGAGGGATGCTAGGTATAATAGGTCAGAAGGGTACGGACAGCAAACCGTGGAGGCGCAATTTTCGCTCAACTTGCACCGGAGGACTCTTATTGTTTTAGCTGTAATGAATCTGAATAACGGACGCTCTGCTGGTAATGAAGAAGACGAGGATGATCGGTGGCTGGAGGAGTAGCTCGCGCACGCCGTTCGCCATTAGCCAGACCTGCCTGTTAAAGCTCATTTTGCCAAGCTGCGTCTGAACCTTTCTCGACGTACAACACCTCTATTTTAAGTGGTGGAGGAGCCGGGGTTCCCATCAACCTGGAACTTCGCAATCGGACGCTACCCTCACCGTTCACCATGACTGCTCCTGGCCCTTCTCAAGCTGCCTTACCAACGACAGTCTACTGTACTGGCGTGCCTCGGCAACGCGACCCACCAATTTTTCGCGGCAACGACGAACAAGACGTCGAGGACTGGCTCGTCGAGTACGAAATCGTAAGCGCTTCCAACAAGTGGAACGCCTGCGACCAGCTCACAAACGTGCGCTTTTACCTCGATGATGTGGCCAGCCTCTGGTTCAAGAACCACGAAGGCGAAATCACCAACTGGTCCGCCTTCAAGACCACCATCGCCGCGGTCTTCGGTCGTCCCGCCGTGCGCCGGCTTCGCGCGGAACAGCGTCTCCGTAGTCGAATCCAGCGCAGGGACGAGACCTTTACAAGTTACATTGAAGATGTCTTGTCTCTTTGCAAGCGCGTCGATGAATCTCTAACCGAACGCGACAAAATCAAGCACATCATCAAAGGAGTTGACGACGATACCTTCCAGATATGTTGTCCAGCTCTGTCAGGAGTACGACGAGTTGCGTAAGCAGCGTGTCTCGACGCGCAGGGCCGCTGAAGATACGGCTGAAGTTTCCGCCCTCGTGCACGATGTCGCTGCTGATCACACCGTCTTACTGCCCCACATCAAACAGTTCCTTCGTGAAGAAGTTGCGCGTCAGCTTTCTCTTGTGGCCGAAGCATCCGTGCCAGTGACATCGTTAGACCCACGTCTACGCCAGGTCATTGAGACACAGGTCACGCAGGCACTGCCTCCATCGCCATCTGTCCCTACGCCGCTGACCTACGCTGCCGTCGTTGCTAGACCCCCAGCCCCACCTGTCTCTGGCGCATACAGGGGCACCGGGTCCTCCTACCCTACGACGCTGCCTACATACACGGCACCCCATCCCGTTTCGCCCCCTGCACCTTCTGTCGTTAACCCATGGCGCACCTTGGATAATCGGCCCATATGTTTCGCATGCGGTTTCGTGGGACATATAGCACGCTACTGTCGCCGTCGTAACTTCCAGCCTCCAGACCACGGGAATTCTGCAAATTACCAGGCTGCCCAGAATCCCCGGCGACCATCTTCTCCTATCACCGACTCATTGTCCGCACGACGCCCTGTCGATTCTCGCCGGTCATTGCCGCCCCGTCGCCGATCTGTCTCCCCGATGCTTCGGCGCACGAGCCCCGCTCGAGAGGAAAACTGACAGCCGCAGTTCCGGAGGCAAGAACTGTGTCGTCGTCGAACTTTCTAAGACCTCCTCTTTGTCCGACCAACGAAATTGATGTGCTAGTAGAAGGTGTTGCTGTACGTTCACTTGTCGACACAGGCGCCGTCGTTTCTGTAATTAGTGAAAAACTGTGTCGCGATTTGAGAAAAGTTACAACGCCGCTTACGAATCTTGCTCTGCGTACAGCCACCTCCCATTTCATCGCGCCGACAGCTCAGTGCACAGCACGCGTTTTTATTCAAGATGTTTGGTACGCCGTCAACTTTGTTGTTCTCCCACGTTCATCTTACGACGTCATACTAGAATGGGATTTCCTTTCTACCCATCAGGCCCTCGTCGACTGCGCTCGTGCTGAATTCACGTTGACGAATCCGTGCCTTGATATCGACCACCACAGTCCCTCCAAAGTGTTTGCCGCAGCTGACGTCCGCATCGCGCCGTTGTCCGCCGTCCTAGTGCCTGTGTTTTCCCCTGCTGCCACTAACTCGACGCTCCTGTTCCAGCCAACTATAACTAGTGTGCAACACCGAACCATCGTCCTCCCGTTTGCCGTCATCAACTTTTCCAATGGTTCGGCGGTACTTTATGCGTGCAACGTTTCTGCATGTCCGTACAACCTGCTACGCGGCGAGTGTCTGGGAAGCCTCGAGACCTTAAATTGTATTTTCGAAGACCCGATCTATCCAGACAAGCCATTTTTACCGACTTGTGCTATTACACCCGCAACGGACGCTAATGAACCTATAGATGTATTCCGCAAGTCCATTGATTGTAACCTCACCCCTGAGCAGCAGGAACAGCTGATCAAGCTCCTACAGCGTTTTCGAGCCTCGTTTGACGACAATCAACCTTCCTTAGGTCGAGCGTCATCTGTTGTTCACCGTATAGATACCGGTCAAGAGACGCCAATACGGCAGCGTCCATATCGTGTGTCACCTGCCGAACGCCGTGTCATCTGGTCGACGATATGCTGAAACGTGGCATAATCAAACCGTCAAGCAGTTCCTGGGCCTCTCCAGTTGTGTTGGTGAAGAAGAAGGACGGATTCATCAGGTTTTGCGTGGACTACCGGCGTCTCAACCGAATCACGCGCAAGGATGTCTATCCGCTGCCACGCATTGACGATGCCTTGGACTGCCTACAGGGAGCCGAATTTTTCTCTTCTTTAGATCTGCGCTCTGGATACTGGCAGGTACCCATGGCAGAGGCCGATCGTGAAAAAACTGCTTTCATCACGCCCGACGGTCTTTACGAATTCACAGTCATGCCCTTCGGCCTCTGCAACGCACCAGCTACTTTCGAGCGGATGATGGACTCTATCCTTCGAGGCCTCAAATGGAACGTTTGCCTTTGTTATTTAGATGACATTGTCGTCTTTTCAACCGATTTCGCAACCCATTTAACCCGCCTCGAGAAAGTCCTCGCGTGTATTTCTGCCGCGGGGCTGCAACTGAATCTGAAGAAGTGCCATATTTCGCTGCTCGAAAGCTTACGATCCTTGGCCACGTGGTTTCAAAAGACGGCATTCTTCCTGACCCTGCCAAACTTACAGCCGTTTCAGCGTTTCCCAAACCGACCACCATGAAAAAGCTCCGAAGCTTCATAGGCCTTTGCTCTTACTTCCGGCGCTTCGTCTGCAATTTCGCGACGATCATCGCTCCTTTGACCAAGCTCCTCGCCGGCTCTAGAGACCTTTCCGCCTGGTCTGCCACCTGTGACGATTCTTTCAATGAACTGCGCCGCTTCCTCGCGTCGCCGCCTATTCTGCGACACTACGACCCATCGGCACCCACAGAGATCCACACCTACGCTAGTGGTGTCGGGCTAGGCGCTATTCTTGCACAGAAGAAAGACGGCTTCCAAGAGTACGTGGTTGCCTACGCAAGCCGAACTCTTAGCAAAGCCGAAACCAACTATTCAGTCACTGAAAAGGAATGTCTCGCCATTATTTGGGCGATAGAGAAATTTCCACCTTACGTGTACGGGCGCCCTTTTGACGTCGTGACTGACCACCACGCCCTCTGCTGGTTGTCGTCACTGAAGGATCCAAGCGGTCGCCTCGCCCGATGGGCATTACGCCTCCAAGAATATAATATTCGCGTGGTCTATCGCTCCGGCCGGAAACATTCGGACGCAGACGCCCTATCCCGTTCGCCGCTACCCCCTGACCCGGACTGCTGCGAAAGTTTAACCTGTGATGCCACTGCCGTCACCATCGCCGAGATGCCATCTGAGCAACGCAAGGACCCTTGGGTTGCTTCGATTCTAGACATCCTGGCTGGGCACACGGCTTCCCCCCTTCTCGCACATTGCGTCGGCAAGTCGAGCACTTCGCCACTCGCGACGACGTGCTGTACCGACGCAACTACGCACCCGGTGGACGTCAGTGGCTACTCGTGATTCCACGTCATCTGCGATCCGAAATTTGTTCCACGTTTCATGACGACCCCCAATGTGGCCACGCAGGTTTCTTGAAGACTTATTCTCGCATACGTCTCCGATATTACTGGCGTGGCATGTACCGTTTTATACGACAATTCGGGCCTGCTCGACGTGCCAGAGACGAAAAACTCCCCCTTGTCACGCCAGCGGTACCTTGCTACCCTTACCATGCCCATCCCGACCATTCGACCGCGTCGGCATCGATATCTACGGTCCCCTTCCCAACACCGCTGACGGTAACCGCTGGATCATAGTTGCCGTCGACCATCTCACGCGGTATGCCGAAACTTCATCCCTTCCCTCGTCTGCAGCAAAGGACGTTGCGACTTTCGTTCTTCACAACATCGTATTACGGCATGGAGCACCTCGGGAGTTACTGAGTGATCGTTGTCGCGTATTCTTGTCAGACGTCATCACAGCATTGCTGCGTGAGTGCCACGTCGTTCACCGCACTACAAGCGCCTATCATCTCCAGACCAATGGAATGACAGAGCGCTTCAACCGCACCCTTGGTGACATGCTGTCTATGTATATCTCGTCAGACCACTCCAATTGGGACCGAGTGCTCCCGTTTATCACGTTCGCTTATAATAGCGCCATTCAAAGCACTACTGGGTTTTCTCCTTTTTTCCTCCTTTACGGACGCGAACCTTCTTGCACTATGGACACCATCCTTTCGTACAAACCTGACTCCTCAGAGTCCACGACTTTGTCTCAAGCCGCTACATACGCTGAAGAATGCCGCCAACTGGCAAGATCATTCACAACTCAAGACCAAGGACGCCAAAAACACCACCATGACGCATCAAATAACACTACTTCCTACGATCAAGGTTCACTCGTCTGGCTGCATGTCCCTTCGGCTACACCTGGCCTTTCTACCAAGTTGGTCCCCAAGTATCACGGCCCATATCGTGTGCTACAAAAAACGTCACCGGTGAATTACCTCATCGAGCCACTGGAATCATCTTCTGACCAACGTCGTCGTGGCCAGGAAATTGTCCATGTCTCGAGACTTAAGCCCTGCTACGACCCTCCCGTGTTTACTTGTCCATAGGTCGCCAGGATGGCTCCTTATTTCGCGGGGAGTAATTGTAATGAATCTGAATAACGGACGCTCTGCTGGTAATGAAGAAGACGAGGATGATCGGTGGCTGCAGGAGTAGCTCGCGCACGCCGTTCGCCATTAGCCAGACCTGCCTGTTAAAGCTCATTTTGCCAAGCTGCGTCTGAACCTTTCTCGACGTACAACACCTCTATTTTATAGCCAAGGTTCTCTGTTAAATTCACACATTTGTTACTCAGGAGCATCAACCTATCAATTTAGTATGACTTAATATCCATATTTTATGACAGTATGGCTGGTGAGTGTGACGCGATTAACAAGTCTGCAAAATAATGACACACACGAAGAAAATCATGCACGTACAATGTACGCAGTGTTCTTTCAATGACCCCGTATGCCACGAGTTCGTGTTGTTTACTCCCGAGCTTTTAGGTAGACGAAGCCGTGTGGCTGCTAACATTGTGCCAAACACAATACAACCGTTTTTTTCCGATGGGGTAAGAGAAACTTATCATCAAGGCCCCATAGGAGAAATATTTACCTAAATCTTCCTTGGGAAACTTGCGAAACTGGAAGTTCTTTTCTCTCTCCCAGCTCTTCACCACGTCTAGCTTCATCTTGTTCAAAGCGGCGCGAAACCTCTGCTTAGCATCCAGCGGGGCACATTCTGAGCGGCGGGTCTTGTACCGATGCCATTCCTGTAAATGTTTGAACGCCAAAATATAGAGACGCAGGCAACTTCAACCTCTATACCACTCTGAAAATCAATGCGCAGATGCTTTTAGCGTAATACTCGTGTATTGATGCGTTAATGAACACCAGCCGCATATACTTCAACAATTAGTGGTCAGCCTTATACAGCTGTCGTCAGCCCTTAGTCAATATGCAAGCTATTCCCTTTCGTCATGAGGCATTTAGGAGAGTGATAGAACAAGAAAAAGAAAGAAAAAGACGGAAAAAAACACCAACACCTCTCTTAAGTCCTGGTACATGTTTGAAAATCGTATACGAAATTGGCATTTCTATAGTTAAGGACTGAACCAAGCATTTCGTTTGCTGTTTGTATCGCAAGATGTGCACGACAAAGTAAGGACGAATCGCAATGAAGGCCAGTACTGCCAATATTTATGCATTCCGTAAGCAAAAAGAATACATTTGCAATGTCATCAACTTCCAAGAAACGCCATAATATATTCTTTTCTAAGATGTACAGAGGAGGTACACACAGTCTGGGACAGGTGTCATAACGTTTCAACTTTGATTACTATACTTTATCGAACACGCATGCATTTTGCTGAGACAGAGCACTATACACACAGGACCCCTCAGCAGATTTCGGCACTGCTAACGAACAGGCGCGTTGCGTATGTAATGTGGTGCTGATCGTGTTTGAAAAGTATGGAACGACTGAGCGACGGAAAGACGGTACCACTTTCAAGCAAAAGTCACGCACGCTTCTTCTTAATGACGCCACTCTTCCAGCGGTACTCTAGGTCCAGACCCAACACGCACCGCTTGCAATGTCATTGACCATTACGTGTCGCTTCGGTGGTCCTTCGTATACGGTGTGTGCAACGCGTCACTAAAAATGCGCTGTCAAGAAACCAGTAGAGAAAGGGAAGAAAAGATTAGAGGTGAGGCTCGTCACGTGACGAAGCAGCGGTAAGAGCTAAATATATTTTTTTTTCCGAAATGTTCAGCGAAATATGCGAGTCTCATTACATTATAAGGTGCAAATGTTTAATTCTGTAACTCGCACTCAAGAAAACTAAGTGTGGTTCATTGACAGATAGCCTCCCGGCGGCGTAGCGAATTGATCTGTTCGAATTATTTAAACTCCTTCTCTCTATTGTTTCTTCAGGCATAGCAGTCAATACAGGTGGCTCAGCATTCAAGCAATAATCCAAGCACACACTGCACTGAATGCTTACGAGGTGAGTTTCGTACCATAAAGACACTGACGTCTTCATCAGGTGTGGCCGATGCGCCATTTCCGTGTTTCCATAATATCTTGAAGACTCCTTCCTTCCGATCAACCCACTGCAGTCGCTCGCCGAACGTACCACGCTCCAGGTGGTCGAAAAGGAAGCCGCAAAGCTTGCCTGTGAAGCGCTTTGGCATCTGCAAGGAACCAGCAAAATGTCAGATAGATCACGCGAACCTGAATATCAACACTTTTCTTCTTTTAGGGGCGAAGCTTCTTATAGCGGCACCCGTTCGTCCCCTGTAGTATGTAACAAGTATAACATTTTGACCTCCACGGTGGTGCCGGTGAGAGACTTCTTCTGTGCGTTGTTGAACAATAAAAAATAGTGCTCAATGTATATGTCAATGGCTGCTAATGGGGAATGAGAGACAGAAGCATTCGGCTTTTAGTTAACGCGCAGGCTGCGATTACCATTAGCAGCCATTGGCATGTACATTGAGCACAATCTGACAAGAAAGGGTTGCTACGTTATACTCGCTGGGTGTAACCTCCTTAGCTTTAGAAAGGTTTAGCGAGCGTTGAGCCGCAGTGCCATGAATACAATGAACTTGTATATACCATGAATGAACTCGAGGTGGTTAAAAATGGGAAGTAGATACGAAGCGCAAGCCGTAAGAAAGTAAAAGCCGAATTCTCCGCCTCTCATTTCCCATTAGCAGCCATTGGCATGTACATTGAGCACTATCTGACTGAAAAAGTTTGCTATGTCATACTCGCTGGGCATAACCTCCTTGGTTTTCGAAAGGTTTAGCGAGCGTTCGGCCGCAGTGCCATGAATACAGTGAACTAGTATATACCATGAACTCGAGGTGGTTAAAGGTGGGAAGTTGACCCGAAGCGCAAGCCGTAAGAAAGTGTGCGTGTGCCACCTCTCGTTTAGTCCTTGGAATGTCCGCTGGATGGCGGTGCTTCTATATGGGGAATATATGATGAAAAGATGCGAGATGGTGGTACTTGGAGTGTTGAATAGATGGACGAACGTACACATAGACAGATGCATGGATGGACGCATGAACGGACGCAGGGGCGGCTGCATGGACGAACGCAGGGACGGACGCACGAACAGATGCACGCACGGACGGGCTGATGGACGCATGGACGGTCACACTGACGGACGCAAGGACGGACGGAAGCAAGAACGAATGGACGGACGAATTCTTCGCCCCACTCTCCATCATTCACTCCGTGGATATGCTGCCATTTTTTTGAAACCATATTGGCATGGGCACGGAACGAGACTGAGCCATGCGAATGCGTGTATGCTCCATGGTGGCAAAAAAGAAGAAGAAACAGCTGTTTACAAGCACGGATTACCACTAGCTGAAGGCGCAGTCGACATACTGAGGCACTTGTCTATAGCGACGTCGCGGTGTGTGGGCTCCTCCCAGCCCAAAGCTCGTAACTGCACTCTATGATCACGTGACAACTGGCACAGAAGCTGCCTCCGGCATTGGCAAGTAACGGTGCGAAATTTGCAGTCTTCAGAGATGCGGGTATGCACAATGCGAATATTCAATGTGAAGCGTATCTATCTCGCTATCTGTCTATCAATCTATCTAGCCGCTTACGTTTGGATGCTCTCGTGGTCACCTCCTTAACATGGCGTGTACCAAATTTGCATGGTTGGCGAATATGACGCACTGGTCAAGACATGAATAATGTCAAAATCCCGTCACGTACGTCGTCAAACACTTCCCGCCAGACAGTGGCACGTACCCACGGGTGGGTATTTGCCGCAGGTATATGGGTATGTACCACAGGTGCTAGACACTTATAGTATCTACCCAGGAATGATGAGAACACACATGGACAATTTTAACGCGCGAGCGTTAAGAAATACCCGTCGGGTAGATTCTACCGACATCGGTAGAATCTACCCGACGAATGCAAATAATAAATGTCAGGGTCCCAGCTGGAATCGAACTCAAGCATTCTGCATGGCAATGAAGCATTCTACCACCGAACCACGCCAGGTCTCGGAACTACTTTTCAAATTGACTCCAATCTTCGTGAAACGTCAATAGTGGTTGCAGTGGTGCCTACCCAATTTTATAAACATTACACACATAGTAACATTAAGCTTCTTTTCTTGGAATGGTGACGAGTTCCATACAGTTGAACGGTATATTTGTGCACCCCCGCCGCGGTGGTCTAGTGGCTAAGGTACTCGGCTGCTGACCCGCAGGGCGCGGGTTCGAATGCCGGCTGCGGCGGCTGCATTTCCGATGGAGGCGGAAATGTTGTAGGCCCGTGTGCTCAGATTTGGGTGCACGTTAAAGAACCCCAGCTGGTCGAAATTTTTGGAGCCCTGCACTATGGCGTCTCTCATAATCATATGGTGGTTTTGGGACGTTAAACCCCTCATATCAATAAATCATTATATTTGTGCACGAGGACGGATGCAGGTGAATGAGAGCAAGGAAATAGCGCCGATGTGTAACTATTCCTTGTCACGGTGCACACCGCAGCATTTTCGCCTCCATCCAAAAGGTTGCCGCAGCCGCAATTTCAATGGAGGCGAAAATGGTTGAGGTCCGTGTGCTTAGATTAGGGTGCACGTTGAAGAACTCTAGGTGGTCGAATTTTACGGAGCCCTCCACTACGGCGTTTACGGAGCTCCACTGCGATCGACTGTGACAGACGGACAAAAACGAGAGAGGGGGGAAAGAGAAAAAAGAAAACAGCAGTACGCCGCATTAATTTGATCCATTCACTCAATCGCCTTTCAATCGCGCTGCCCCCCCCCCCCCCCCAAGAAATGCAAACAGCTATGGCAGCGTGACTTGAATGCTGTGTAATGAAGAAGTAATGGGTCATGCATAGCGCGGAAAACACATCGTCAGTGCTAAGCACGAGACGCTCGCCCCGGACATTGTCGCTGCTTTCGCTGGCTAGGCCTACGCTCCTACCTTGTCTGAAATAACAGTTCTGACTGTCTCAATTCTTTATTATAGCTGGATAATGTCTGCGGTCACGTCGAACCGCATGCACAAAAGGGCGTGGCCAGGTGTCCACCTGGCCACGCCCTTTTGTGCATGCGGTGTGCGGAAGCCTTAATTTCGCATCCTATACTATGCGGCATCACGCGACCGCTTACTTGACGCATACTTTGCGGTGGAGTTTTCCACGTCTGGCATGAGTTCCAAAGCGCATAGCCTAGGATGACGAACCAAAATCGGGCATCCACCGGAACGAAGCCAAAGGCGCGTGTTCCTCGCCTATGAAAGAGCAGAACAGCGCGCGTGTCTGTGAGACGCGCGCTCCGTACCGCAGCGGCTTGGACTACAAACGGGAGATGCGCGTCCGTATCGCATTCTTCGCACGATATTCAAATGCATCTAACCATCGCGAGTGATATCGGCAAGGCGGGAGCGTTAAATCATGTCCCTAGCACCCTCTGGCCAGTAAGCGGCTTGACGCCAGTATGTTTTCGCGTTGTGTCTCGGTGTGCACTGGCACTGGGCGCGGATAAGGGTTAAAATAGTCAAGCAAAATTAAGCCCGATTTCAACAGCTTATTGGATCACGGGTGGCATTCGATTCATACTAAGGGCAAATGTTCACTGCTCGTCTAAACTGCTCTTATACAATAGATCACTTCACACTTTAGAAGGTGTATGTCAACAGGAAACGCATTGCAATTATAAATTACTGCGGTTAAATACAGAGCTAGCGCCTAATTTTACGCACGCGGCGCAAATGAAAATAAAACGACAAGCACATTGATTGTAATGCGAATATTGAAAATACACTTTACGAAAACTTACTTTAGCTTTAGGATGGACGCACGCTGACTACCGCATCCAGTTCACTGTACTTCCAGAGCAGACGCGCGCTACACGCGACGCGACGCAGACGACTGACTGCCGAAGACGCGGCGCAAAGCGTGGAGCTCGGCGGGCCGCGGGAGTCCCCGCTTGCGAGGCCCGTCCGCGTGACCTCGCTTCACTTGTTTTATCGTGGCACGGAGGGGATTCCCCTTCGCGAGCCGCTGGCACGCCGAAGGAACCAGGCGCGTAGCGAGCGCGTACGTGCCGCCATCTGTTGCTTCATTTCAAAAGTCCCTATGCTGCTGGCCTCTTGAGATTTTGCCATGTGCCAGCACGAGTCAGAAACCGCGCTTCGCGATCGCGAACTCAATTTGTCGTCTATTTTATAACTTATTGCACCATTTCTTGTCAGAGATATAACAGCGCTAGACGTACTGGTGTTGTAACAGTCATGAATGAACAGAGAGAAAAAGGACGGAAACAAGCACTCATTGCATTACGCGTCCTGCACCTCATGCAAGTATGCGAGAAAAACCAGGAAACAGATATTTGTTCAACATTACACTATGTATGATTATTACCTAGGAAGAATACCTTAACGTCAGTAGTTAAGCGAGAGCGACTTCTAAACACACACACACACACACACACACACACACACACATGCCCCGCCGCGGTGGTCTAGTGGCTAAGGTACTCGGCTGCTGACCCGCAGGGCGCGGGTTCGAATCCCAGCTGCGACGGCTGCATTTTCGATGGAGGCGGAAATATTGTAGGCCCGTGTGCTCAGATTTGGGTGCACGTTAAAGAACCCCAGGTGGTCTAAATTTCCGCAGCCCTCCACTAGGCGTCCCTCATAATAATATAGTGGTTTTGGGACGTTAAACCCCACATATCAATCAATCAACACACACACACACACACAGAGCGAGCGTGCGTGTTCTCGAAAATGTTAACAATTATTTATTTATTTATTTATTTATTTATTGTCTAAATTTACTGTTTGACGTTTCAGCCGAAGTCAGAGCTTTCTCACGACATAATATTAACATATGCACGTACGGTGACAGTAAAGAGAGAAGGATGAGAGAACTGAAAAACGGGAAAAGAGAGAAGTAAAATATGCAAAGTAATAACAAAACGTCGGCGAGATCAGTATAGCTGTAGACAATTTTACGGATGGGTTTGTATCTTTACAGATGGGTGTGTATTAGTTGTGTTTTGTAACTAAACGAACTACGGCAGACACATACGAATGAAAGCGGTTGGGCTGGTGCATACGATGTTTCATGGATTCATTAATTGATGATATGTGGGGTTTAACGTCCCAAAACCACCATATGACTATGAAAGACGCCGTAGTGG